GGGGACCAAGTTAAAACAACAACAACCGCAGTGCGTGCAAGGTGATATGCTTGTCTACATATTTAATTTGACCTCTTGAAGTTTTTGGAAGCATACTGCAGTAAGAACAGAAGTGCTGTCTAGCAGTGGTAGCCGGTGGTTTCTTTATTGTTCCGATTGAGGGCTCTCTCTGTCCAAGTATTCATGATGGATGAAGTCTTGTAAAAGATGGCCACTTAGCCATGCAACAGAAAACAAAGACAACACTTTACAAGATGATTGACGTCAGTAATGTTAGGAAATTTGGCAAATGACATGTTGGGTTTTGTCTTGAAGAGTCCCCGTCAAGCGTTTCCCTGGGTGTCGTTGGTGCAGATGTACCCGAACATAGAGGGGACACAGGAGGCGGGGGACCCGGGGCTGGGCGTGGTTTCATGTCAGGCTGCTCTCCCAGCGAGATTGTTGATCAAGGGGGTTGTTGTGTTGTAGGAAGATGGGGTGCTGTTGAGGCTAGAGAGGTGAGCAGAGTAAGCCTGATTCCCCGTTTTGGACTTCTCTATTGACATCCACCCCTTGGCGCTCATATGACCTTTTATGCAGTTGTGAGTGCCGTAAAACCTCTACTAAAACAAAAAATCCTAGCGAGATTTTGATCAAGGAGGTTGTTGTATAGTAATGTAGTTGTCGTGCAAGCTTTTGTTTTGAAGATGGTGGTGAAATCAGAGTGAGGTGTAGTAGTGCTGAAGAGTGGTGTGTATGTTCAGTGGAGCGATTCTTTGGTTGTTGGAACATGGTGGTGTGAACTCAATGACATAATTTAAGATGGATGGATGTACTGCTGGGGAATACGTTTGACTTTTGAACACAGGGTGAACTCAAAGCAGAACGTCGTAACGTACGAGTGGTGTGTGTGTGTCTGGCCAAGTGTACGCTTTTGTCGTGAAGACCGTGCGGATTGTACGGTCTGTCCGTTATTTAAAGATTACCAGCTGTAGTTGTTCTCTGATGGTGAATGATTTCTGTGAGAAATGTCAATGTAGATAAAATATATATAAACATTTTGTCAGCTCTTTTTGATGATGAAGCAAGGTCTCTGTGTTTGGCTGGCTGGCCAAGAAGCTTTATATGTGTACTTTTTTGTTTTCTCTTTGTCGTGTTGGAGCGTTCCTGTCAAACGTCTATCGGCCTGATCTCTCCTATTTTTTATTTTTTTTGGTGTATGTTACTCTCTTGTAACACTTCGATTCTCCGGCACTTTTTGACCTTATTGTGTCGCAAGTGCCCTAAAACTCTTACTTACTAAAACAAAAAGGAGGGTCTGCGTCGGCGTGCGTGTGTCGTGTTGTTTGTTCTCCACAGCGTTGTCGGGAGAGCTTTGTCCCCGGGGTCTTTCAGTTCACGCGCTCCTCGGCAAACAACGCCTGGCTCTAGGAGATGTTGTACCCTACTCTTGTCTGGTCCGGGGAGTTCAATGATTTTAGTGGAAGCACGTTTGTGTGTGTGTGTGTGTGTGTGTACACTTGTTCATTGGAACATATCTGCCTGTGGTGAGGAATGTATGAGTAGGAGCCTTTCCCC